TTTCGTATTTTCGTGGGGGGATCAAGCAAAAGCTAATGTCTTAAACTAATAATTTAAAAAACAATAGCTAAAATAGCTTAAGCAATTTGTTTTTTACCAACTTTGTCATTTTTTAGACATGGACTATATGCAAAAGCGACGTCACTGGTTCGTCTGTCTGTGTTTCCGTCTCATTTTCGTCTTTGCAGTTCTGGGCTTTACATATTCGATGCCACACCTGACGCCGTCAATATCTGCGTTCTGGATTTCCGTGACAGTCACTCACATCCCTGAATGTCGCAAGTTTTCATCGTGGATGAACTACTGGACTAGCTCTGAATTATGTCTTCAGCCCAATGTCGACTATAGTCATGGACCAAATTGCAAATGTCATGTAATCCAAGGAATGTTTACGATTCTTGTATCCATACCACACTTTGCGACATTATTCGCTACTTTTATTGCGTTCCATCCAGACAAGGCCATCAACATCCCTTCTATGATAATTTTTATATTTCTGAGCGCGATTGTGACGCGATACAAACGCAAGCGTGTGACGTTATATGGACTACAATAGGCATGGATTACATTGCAACTGTCCTCTAATCCAAGGAATGTTTACGATTCTTGTATCCATACCACACTTTGCGACATTATTCGCTACTTTTATTACGTTCCTTCCAGACAAGGCCATCAACATTCCGTCTTTGATAATTTTTATATTTCTGAGCGCGATTGTGATGCAATACAAACATCGTCATGAGACATTATATAGATTATGCTTTGGAGCCATTACCACATTGTTCCCTGGATTGTATCCTGACAGAATCCGACATAATAATGACTGCAATTCTTCTCCTTCCGAAAATTTCTATTTTCGTGGTCATTGGTATGATTTTCGGACATTTTGTCTCAAACATTATTCTTTTTACAAATTTCCTTACCATTTTCTCTGGTATTTTTGTCGCCTCGCTATTCTTTGCACTTTTATCATTTTTGGATCAAGCACCGTTATTCTGACGTCGATTAATGAATACATCTTTTGGGGTGTTATTGTAGGATTGCATTTTTATGAGATTGTGCTTTGGAGCCATTTCAATTTCCGACTTAGCGAGTCAGAAAGTTCAGCGTTTTGGTCAGGCCAAATAACAGTCCAGCTTTTTGGGGCATGGTCAGTCCAGCCTTCTTGACACAAATAAGCACTGAATAGAATGCACTTGTGGATAAAACCGTCACAGACACGAAAAAAATCACTGGATAGAATGCCCTTACTGAAAAAGCAGGACAGACACGAAAAATAACGGTCGCCAAAAAAGGTAAACAGAATGACAAAAATGCACTTGTGGATAAAACTGTGCTTGTACTTGTGTATTCCATTTGCACTCTGTTCCGTTCGATTTTCCATTTTGTCTGTCCATTGTATTGCGTTTAAGAAAATAAATTTCAATGTATTCACTCAAACAAAGCAAACATTTCATCGGAAAAGGACATAATAATATGATAAAGAAGAAACGACAAAACGTTATTCAAATGGCTAATGTTGACCTTTTAACCTTTTAAGAGGTTAAATGAGGGTTCTATAAATATAGGAATATAGGGATAAGCTATCACTCAAAGCTTAATAGACCTTTTAACCTCTTAAGAGGTTAAAGTGGAAATAGACTCGCCTCGCTATTCTTTGCTTTTTTTGTATTTTTGTGTCAAGTAATCTGACCACGATTAATGAATACATTCTTTTGGGGTGTTATAGTTGGATTGCAATCCTTCGAAATTGTATGGCACTTTTACAGTTTTCTGCCTCATAGGAACGAGATATGAATTTTCAATATATTCACTCAAACATAAACAAACATTTCATCGGAAAGGGGACGTAATAATATGTTAAATAAGAAACGATTAATCACTATTCAAATGGCTAATGTTGACCTTTTAACCTCTTAAGAGGTTAAATGAGGGAGTGAACTTTTGAGGCTATATTATATATTCAGGGTTTTAACTGATTGGTAAATATTCGATGTTCTTGATATAAAACTAAATAAATACAATTGAAAATGTCTTACTCTGTATTTTTATTATTGTGGTTACTGGACTTATTTTACGACATTTTGATTTAAAAATTTGACTATTCTATTCAATTCCACTCAGAATTGTCCTGTGTCACATGAACCGTTAGCTATCGAACGAGCTATTACACGTAAAACGGATGGATGGATCCTGAGAACTCAGATTCCAATCAATGAAAAGTTTCAAAATAATATAGTTGAGTAGTAGTAAATCTTCCTGGCTTTCCCAGACGCCTATTTTATCTTACTAACGTGAAATTTTACAAATTTGCATGAAAAAGTGAAAAATCTCTATATAAGGAGCATGTCTGCAAGTAACCGGATTCGAATGCGGTAAAAATGGGACCGATAATTTTTGGACTCGGTCTTTTTCCGCCGCGCCCATAGGGAGCGGCGGAGGAAAAATGTTGAAGTTTTTCGAAGAATATACAAAATTTTCCTGTTTTTGAGAGATGCTGTAAAATGTCTTTAACTACTTGGCAGGTTTTAGTCAGTTTACTCTCAGTTCAGATCGTAATCGTAGTTTTCGGTATTTAAGCTTAATTAGAACATTTTTTGCAGTCTTAGGCTTAATTTGCAAGTTGTAGGACTTTAGATGTTTTCCTTGAATTTTTGCTTTTGAATTTAAGTTTTTAATACGTGAGGTTGGAGATGAAAACTTTCAGTGTTGAGGTAAAGCTTAATATATAATTTTGGTAATTTTTCGAAAATTTCTCAAAAATTTACACCAAATTAGGCACCTTTTAAACAATTTTTCGTCGTGCCCGGTCCAGTCCGAAAACGGACCGGACCGGGGGGGGGGTCGATCCGGTCCGGTCCGGACCAGCTCAGGGGTCGGTCCGGTCCGGTCCGCTCGTCCACCCGTTCGATTTTCCATTTTGTCTGTCCATTGTATTGTGTTTAAGAAAATAAATTTTCAATGTGTTTACTCAAACAAAGCAAATATTTCATCGGAAAAGGACATAATAATATGACAAAGAAGAAACAGTAAAACGTTATTCAAATGGCTAATGTTGACCTTTTAAGAGGTTAAAAGCAGAAGTGAAGTTTTGAGGTTATACGCAGCGTTGTGCTTGGGTTAGATCAACGTCAGTGTTTAATTTTGCAAGGCCGAAGGCATTTTTGATCCGCTGGTCTTTCAAATATTTGACTCGCTAAATATAATTTCAATGTTTACTCCGCCTCCAAAGTTGAGAGAAGAATTTCAAACTTAAGTTCTTAAATTTGGAATTGAAAAGAATGACATCCGCGCCACCTCTGAGTACTTAACATTTTTCCAATTTTCGCATTTTACTATTAGTGTAAAATTGGACTGAATGCAAAGAATTGTGTATAGTTACGCAAGAAAACGATCCTTGGCTGGTTTCTCTGTCTCATATGTCCATAAAATGAGACCTTTAGAAGTTATGATGATCATTTATCCAGCTTTACAAACAAACCAATGAGCTCTCTCGTCCTCGAAAACTCGTTGCTTCGTGATTCCTAAATCACTTGAAGTGATATTTGTATTCAATACTAACAGCTCGCTCTTCTCACCACCAACATACCCGCGCCACCTCTTCGAGACAGCACTTTCCAAAATTAGTCATCCACCGCAAGAATGTTGGGCAGAAACATTTAAGTACCTCAAACTTGGGTAATTAAACCGAAGACGTTGGCTGAGGACAGCGCTTGTGTTGTTTGTTGGTCAATTCAGAGCTAGTGTGCGGCGCACTGAAAAGACTGCTGGGGAAGGGAGAGGGCAGAGAAGTGATGTGTCTGACTGGTTATTTCCCACTGCCTTTCTTTGCTCGGTTGTGGTGGGAAGGACAGAACCGCGGAAGAGAACAAAGAGGCCTTTTCAAAGAGAGATGAGATTTTATCCATCTTTTACATTCTTATTTTGTTTGTGACGCAATACTAGGATCATCATGTGTAGCATAATAGTTTATTCCGAATTTTTGTCTTGGTAGCCATTTGTTAAACAATTTTCCTGGACCGCTTACTTGATTCAGAAAGTTTGACTCAGTACTGGGTTTTAGGTCAGAGATTACATCAAATTTTTTAAACAGGTCTCAGCTTTTTGTGGGCATAGCGTCAGTCCTCAGCCTTCCTTGAATCACAATTAAGCACTGAATAGAATGCACTTGTGGATAAAACCGTCACAGACACGAAAAAATCACTTGGATAGAATGCCTTACTGAAAAAGAGGACAGACACGAAAAATAACGGTCCCCAAAAAAGGTAAACAGAATGAAAAAAATGCACTTGTGGATAAAACTGTGCTTGTACTTGTGTATTCCATTTGCACTCTGTTCCGTTCGATTTGTTGCACTCTGTTCCGTTCGATAACCTCTAAAGAGGTTAAATGAGGGAGTGAACTTTTGAGGCTATATTATATATATTCAGGGTTTTAACTGATTTGTAAATATTCGATGTTCTTGATACAAAACTAAATAAATACAATTGAAAATGTCTTACTCTGTATTTTTATTATTGTGGTTACTGGACTTATTTTACGACATTTTGATTTAAAAATTTGACTATTCTATTCAATTCTACTCAGAATTGTCCTGTGTCACATAAACCATCAGGAATGCGATCCTGTAGTTTATTTCCTGTTCCAGAAACATTCCCCATTTTGTCTACTTTCCAAGAAAAGCCACAGATTGATATCGCTTTGGGTATCAGAGGAAATGCCTTTAACTACTCAGCAAATTTTAGTTACTTTACTCTCAGTTCAGATCGTAAGTAAAGTTTCGTCGAGCTCCCTTTCAAAAACATTTTCAAAATCTTAAAACCGCAATTCTCAAAGTGCTGTAGTACTTAAACAGTGCACAGAGGAGCGTGAAGAGAAACTATTCGAGAAGACAAGATATATCCCTCCGCGTCTGCTGGGATTCAGGAAAATCAAGTCCTATTGTGTCTAAAAAGTAATAACCTATAGAATTCTTCAAATTAAATGAGACAAAAATTGTTCGACGGAAGCAGGATTTGCACCTGCGCTCGGAAACCGAAACGCGTTAGCAGCGCGTCGCCTTAACTACTCGGCCATTCCGCCGCATGTTTGAAGTGCGCGTATATTCATACATAGAGAAGAGGTTTTTCTTTCCTGGGAGAGAAATCGAATGATGTCTTCTAAGTAATTTGTAATTTCGAGCAAAATTGTTATGCAGCTTTTGCATTTGCAATTCCGGATACTTTGCTATTCTTGTTCCTAAGTTTTTTATTAAGCAGCGTCCGAATTGTTTATTTATTATTTTTTCGTTTGCGCTACAGAATGACTATCGCTACTAGGCACTATCCAAGCTTAAGCACTGCCATGTTTGGATGGAATTGCATTCGAACAGAAAAGAACTGCTAAAAATTTTCTTAAAGTCTCAATACATTATACAAAAACAACCATTTTACAAAAAATGTGACCCTTTAAGCATGGAGTTAACTGCTAATCCTTCCCTTAAAGCCATTCAAATTGCCGCCAATTTTGCACAGTTGGCACAAAGCAATGGCGTCCCTTTAGCATTTTCATTTCCTCAGCTGTTCACAACTCGAGACTCTCGAGTGTTTCAATGCCGAGAACGTATCAAAAATCAATACCTCAACAAACTATTTGATGTGAAATGAATGGAATGTCAGAAATGGAACATTTTCCGCAACATTCTCTGGATTCCGAAGTCGGTCCTTTGGTTCGAAAAAGTGATGTTTGGTCACCGCTCAGCTATGACACAAAAATCGATGTGTTCAAATTTCTACGACCGTACGATATTCGAAAATTTTGCGTTTACGTGAACAAATCTTGGGCATTTTTCTGCGTCGAGAATCAAAGGTACATTCCTCGTCCACGCTCCGTTCCTGAACGCACTGTTGAGCAGGTAAGATTAAATTCTCAATAGCTCGATTGTGAGGCTTAACTTAACAAAAGATGAATTGTTTTATCGTATAAGGGCCCGGGGCCCTTATTTTTCAATATCCATCTAGGGAGGTCTAATAAACCCCGTGTCTTATTGGAAAGGGGCTTTATTGGCAGGGGGCCCTTATTGAAAGGGGATCTTATTGGTAGGAGGCTCTTATTGGGACTTTTTCATTTAAACTCTTCAATGCCGCCTTTGAAGAAAGCCGCTGTTGTTTGTTATCGCTAATATAAGCTCAAAATCTACGCTCCGGATTCTAAATTTGCTTAAAATAATAAAAAAATATTGGAGGAAATAATGTTGTCATTTGTATATATTCTAAAACTTTTTTCTGAAAATGATTCATCACGCATCAAATATTGCTCGATTGTGAACCTTACTTGTGTATTCCATTTGCACTCTGTTCCGTTCGATTTTCCATTTTGTCTGTACATTGTATTGCGTTCAAGAAAATAAATTTCAATGTATTCACTCAAACATTAGTAAATATTTCATCGGAAAAGGACATAATGATATGACAAAGAAGAAACAGTAAAACGTTATTCAAATGGCTAATGTTGACCTTTTAACCTTTTAAGAGGTTAAATGCGGGAGTGAACTTTCTCTGTTTCAGCGTTGAAAGTATCATGAAGGAATAAGTTAGCCTGCCCAAAACTTGCTATGCAATTGATAACTTTGCATGTTAGAGTTTTTTTGTACTAATGGTACTTTTTAGTATCCATTTTAAGCTCGATATTGAAAAGTGCCACCGAAAGCATTTTCCAAAATGTTCACATTTGGTCAAAGAGATGCACTATGGCTTCCTGTGTCTCTGTCTGTCTGCATTCTCTTCTCCACTAACCTTACCTCTGGTTTTTCTCTGCAGATCTGCACTTGCCAACAGAACCGAGTAACCGAGAGGCAGTGGGAAATAACCGGACAGACACATAATTCCTCTGTACTCTTATTTTTCAATGGTCTTTTCAATGCGCCGCACACTAGCTCTGAAGTGACCAAGGAACAGCATAAATGGCGGTCTGCAGCCCATGTCTTTGGTTCACGATCCCTTGAGATACCGAGAAGTTCTCCACCGCGGCAGCAACATCGCTGCGGTGGATGAACACTTTTGGAAAGGCATGGGAGCAACCCATGCAAAGTATCTTAGAGCACGATCCAGCCTGGGTGGTCCGGATCTTTGCAATTTTGATCATTGTTCTCTCAAATCCGGACTTATGATTTATGGGAACGAATATATTCAGGACAGACACGAAAAATAACGGTCCCCAAAAAAGGTAAACAGAATGACAAAAATGCACTTGTGGATAAAACTGTGCTTGTACTTGTGTATTCCATTTGCACTCTGTTCCGTTCGATTTTCCATTTTGTCTGTCCATTGTATTGTGTTTAATAAAATAAATTTCAATGTATTCACTCAAACATAAACAAACATTTCATCGGAAAAGGACATAATAATATGACAAAGAAGAAACAATAAAACGTTATTCAAATGGCTAATACTGACCTTTCAATCTCTAAAGAGGTTAAATGAGGGAGTGAACTTTTGAGGCTATATTATATATATTCAGGGTTTTAACTGATTTGTAAATATTCGATGTTCTTGATACAAAACTAAATAAATACAATTGAAAATGTCTTACTCTGTATTTTTATTATTGTGGTTACTGGACTTATTTTACGACATTTTGATTTAAAAATTTGACTATTCTATTCAATTCCACTCAGAATTGTCCTGTGTCACATAAACCATCAGGAATGCGATCCTGTAGTTTATTTCCTGTTCCAGAAACATTCCCCATTTTGTCTACTTTCCAAGAAAAGCCACAGATTGATATCGCTTTGGGTATCAGAGGAAATGCCTTTAACTACTCAGCAAATTTTAGTTACTTTACTCTCAGTTCAGATCGTAAGTAAAGCTTCGTCGAGCTCCCTTTCAAAAACATTTTCAAAATCTTAAAACCGCAATTCTCAAAGTGCTGTAGTACTTAAACAGTGCACAGAGGAGCGTGAAGAGAAACTATTCGAGAAGAAAGAAAATCCCTAAGAGAGTACACTTGAAGACCTAGCCTCAACAAAGTTGGGAACCCTCGGTAATACGTTTTAGGTGCACAATTAGGCTTAGACTTAAGATCAAGCATCAGACCTGCAAGTGTAGGGTGCCTGATAGGTACAGGAAAGTCCCAGGATGAGATAGCGGACAATTCAATGAAAGTTTAAAGTACACATTTATTAATGAACCATTTTCAGCTACAACGGCTTATGGGTCCAATGTTCATGAACAAATGAATGATCAATGGTCGCGTATGCAAATGTCTGTCTCGACGACAAAAATGATAAAAATATCCATTTCATTGTCACAAAAGATACATTTTTGACGTGCATGATTAAATAAAATGATTATTAAAATGGTGTGTGAGAAAATAATACCCCGGAATCTGAGACAGAAAACAGAAACATTATTGGTTTGTGTAAAAATTTTAAATACGATTTGAAATTTTTCTGTTTTGAAAAATGTTTACGATTTTTGAAAACCAAAATATCAAATCTATTGCACTTCATATTCTGTTCCATTTTCTTTATTCATCAGAAGACTCAAATCCAAATATAAAAACCCAATATATCAAACATCAAACCAACGATGGCCCAAATTGTGCACCGATTCGTCGAAATTCAGTCGATCCTGAAGGAATCCAATATCACTCACGAAATGATGATGGCCGCCTACGAAATGTGCAATAGTGCAATCGACTTGGGAAATGCGCACATAGCCGAAGAATTGCGAGAGGAAAGCGAATGAAACATAAAACAAAGTCTTGGGTTTAGGAAATGTGAATTTTAGATTTTGTTCGTTTACTGATTGTTTGGCATCGTTGTTCCGGAAATAAAATGTTACTAGTAACGCGTCACGTCAACAGAGCTCATGAGAATATCACGGTCTCATGAAAATGAATACCGAATCTGATGATTCGAATCTGACGATCGATCTCAGATTCGGATGACCTCACGTCAGACTTTGTAAGAATACCACGACCTTGTGAGAAAAGTCTCGCGTCAAGAGACCTCATGAGAATATCACGACCTCGTGAATACAGAATTTCCGAGCTCAGATTCGGATTCTGCATTCCTGAAAATTCTCGGCTGCAGAAAATCTACATCCGAAGCGTTGCCGTACGTTTTCATGTGCTGGTTTAGAATAAAAGAAATAATTTGAATTTGGATTCCGTTGTACACATTATTCTTTATTCTTTCACATAATGCACTAAAGGTTCACAACAAAGAACACTAATATAGTGCCATTCTGTTACAATACAAGAAAATGGTAATACATAATGGTGATAAAATATGAGATTCTGCCTGAATAATGGATTAACAGTATAACTCAATCAATATAATTCCAGTACATGCAATGTAGCAATGTTATAGAGGAAAAATAAGATTTGAAAGCCGATTTTTTGCCTGTAGGTTTTTAAGGTTTCCGATAAGTTTTCCTTTATAAACTGATAGGTTTTTGGCTTTAACTGTCTCTTGATCAAGATCATTCCAGAAGTTGATTATTCTAGTGGAAAAAGAGTTTTGTTTTTTAGTACCTATATATTTGGGTTTGATTTGGAATTCATGTCTTCTTAGTGACGGTCTAGCAGGAAAGTTGAAGAAAGATGATTAAATTTAACAAATGTTTTTTCTTGGTTTCAGAAAATGTATCGTGTGAACAGTGCCCAAAAATTTGGCACGATTTTGGTAATTTTCTTCGTTCCGGTTTTGAGGGCAACCGGAAATCTTCTCCTTCTTCAAAGCCTTACGCATGGGCCATCTTTATCAACCAGGGCAATCATTTTTTAGCTTGTCACTGACTCTCTTGCTTCAGCACTCTCTTGTTTTTTCTGCCTCTGTTGATCGGAAATGACAGATTTTCTTGTATGCTAATTTTCCTCTTTCTCATGATGGCGAAGCGAAGCCAAAAAACAACAAATTGGCAACTTGTGTGCTGTCTTATTTCCAATCATTTCAATTGGTTTGGCAATAAAATTTCTTTTATTCTATTCTGCTTCTCTTGAAAATGCTCTTCGACAATGCTGAAAAAACGGCCTTGCAAACGGCGTATTTCGACATATTTATCCACGTATTTTTATTTGTATTAGAAGTCTATTTGGGC